CATTCTTAATAATAAAAGTCCAGAATAAAAAATTATTTTATTTTATTCACAGCGTGAAGCCTCCGCTGTTGGAAATCGTGTTATAGTCAAAAATAAGTCATGAACAATCTTTATAGGGGTTTAATAAATACTTAAGTGATCGGTTTTACCAGATGATACTGTGATAGACCACTTACAAATGATGCCCTTATAATTTTTAGACCAAGGGATAATCCTCAAATGTAATCGATCAAGTCACCATTATCATTTATGATAAGGAGAAAGTTGAATTCATCAGGTGACTTGACAGATTCATTTATAAACGCCCAAGGAACATAACCTAAGAATTACTTCACATGAATCGAACAGAGGACAGGAAAACTTTGGAACTGTAAAAAAAAGATCATAAGTCATAAATAAACGTGGGTGCTAAATAAAACAAGACTTGAATTACCTGGTTAATAGGCTTAAGCATGTAATAGCGCGAGCCCTCTGGAAGACTGAGAACACGTTGCTGCGCGCGCATCACTCTGGCAGGGTTATTCAGGAGAGAGAAAGCAGGCTCCTTAAGAAGAATGTAGGAAATAGAAAGGACAAAGAACGAATAAGCATGGAAGCTAACAAGCAAACTTCTTAAATAAGTGTCTCTCCAACAGGGGATATCTGGTTAAAGGACTTGCAATCCTAGCTGCATCGAAGCCGTCATTAATAGATACATCGACAGTAACCAAGAGCACATTTAAAAGAATAAATTATGGAAAATAATAGAATGGACCAAGAGAACCTGAGATAAAGATATTACGAACTCCTTCGAAAATGGAAATTAATTAACGAAAAATGCAGAGATTTTACACTTTAAAATGTATTGTATAAGAACTAGAGTCATCTTAGATCCCTTAAAATGACGGAAGGCCTGAAAGTTGAATTTTATAAAGTGAAATGATTAAAGGCCTAATGATGCTATAAAATCCCGCTTTCTAGAAAAGCCAGGCCTTCCCAAATTCATAATTGTAGTTAAAAGAATGTCGATAAGGTAAAATGTATTCTGCATTAAAATTGGCGACATTGAAGTAACGGTGGCGAATTGGTTAACAAATTATCAAGAGAACTTATAAAAGAACTAGGGGTATGGCTTGCGTGAACAGTGGTTTACGCATAGATAGGTGTGACTACACAGAAGAATCAACAATTGCATAAGTTAATCCTTCAAAGCAAGTCATACTTAGTGGCTCGTAGGGAGTAATTTAATTAGGACAAGGGCCAGTCTCACACTGAAGAAAGAAATGGAACTTATAATTAGGGAGCATAAACATATCCAGGGGTTGAAGAGCGTGCTCACAAAGATTATTACTTACTAAATAACTTTCCAGTCAAACTCGAGGTGGATTCACTTGATTTAAATAGATTTTATTGCTCATTGACAATAACCGAAGTAACACAATTTCGTTCTGTCCAAAATATGCCCACAAATAACTTTCGTTTCTGTGACTTAATCGTTTAACATAGTAACCAGACACCAGATGAGTATTTATATTACCACATACTGTGATTGCTATCAATTCCAAACCCTAAAGGCAACATAGACCGTGAAGAAGACAAATACATATAAAATAAAATAAAATAAAAATCTACCTTTTCTTCTTTTGATGGTTTGGCCAGCACCTTTGCTTCTTTGGAAGTACTATCCTCAGGTGTATCACTAGGGTAAAAAGTAATATTTTTTCGTTTTATAAGCAAGTCTTCGAGACTACCAGTAGATCATATATATATATTCCCCCTACTTCGTTTAAGGTGATAACATAAAATCTACTCATAGCAGTGTGGGAAAATTCAACTACCAGTACCCTCATGATCTTAAACGTAATATGGTAAATACATCTAATATAAAGAGAAATAGTTGCCGTCATTTATTGTATTTAAATATATTATCTAAAAACCAAGATAATCAAATTAAATAACACAAGGCCAGGTGAATATAATTTTGTTACATAAGGCAAAATATTTTAGAAATAATCTACACTCACACTTCCATTTTCTCTTCCTTAGACTTAGCAGCGTCGTCTTTAGGACAACTTCTAGCGGATAGTAATTGTTGTTTTTTCCGGTGCTTGGCCGTAATGCTCAAAATGGCCGTCTCCACCTTCTCCTTTTTCTTTTCCTTTTCCACTTCTGCAAACAAATATTAATAGGCGATTGATTCCAAATAGTTAAGATTATCAAATAAAAAAATGAAATTGTTAAAATCATTAAGAATTATTAGATGTTGATCGCATTTATTTTGTTTAGGCAGTACACGATGAATGAACATTTTAAAATTTGTCACCAGACTTGTCAGATAAATTTAATGATTGTTCAAGAAGGAAATTATTAGAAGCATCCTTTTATGTAAACTATAATAGATCCATTAACATCCACCTCTATACTCAACAACTCAGGCTTATTATAAACATATATAATTGAAAGCAAAATAGCGTGCATGGTAAATTTTCAAAATTGGCTTCTTAGTGCATTGCTTAAAAATTAAACGATACTTCATAAAGATGTGAAGACCAAGATGTTGTGGCCTCGGGTATGGTCGCCATGTTTATCAGAACGAACCATACTCATAATATAGGCTCCAAAGCATTTAAGAATAGTCACAAGTGACTCAAAATTTATTTCACCTAAATCCATTAGAATAGCTCATTATTCTTATTAAAGTGCTATTTAAACGTAACATAGAAAGCCATATCATACTAAAAAAAACCTAAGGTGAATGATAAAAAATGCACCCAATTTTCACAGAGGAGAAAATAGTATATCGAAACGTGAAAACTGACTTTAAGCGGTAATAAAAATAAAAACAAAAATATGGAAAGCAATACATTAATAAACATGAGGCTTACGAAGAGGTGGAGGGTATGCAAAGGTTGAAGGCTTTGCATTTGAGCGAAACTGCATTTTTGGCATCTGGAGATCTTTGTTGAGAGCAATTATACAAGTAGGCGAAAAGGCAAGACTGAGAAAGTTTGTTAGTGGGTACCAGAACCAGAAATTTTGGAAAACAAGGAGGCCAACTGCGGCTACCATATTAGCGTTTCCTAAAAAGAATTAAATACAAAATAGTTATTAAGCGATCAGAATATTACACTAGTACTGGGCAAGCTCTCATAAATCTAGGTAAATACTCTACATGATACTCTACATGTCGATACTATTTACAAATTATAATTATATTAGAATAAGCGTTCGAGAAGTAAAGCCTTATAAGAGAAAAATAACCAATTGCAAAATAGAAGTAGAATAATTGAGTTCAACAGCATAAATTATAAATGTGGAAAGGCATCAAAAGGGATAGATTAAAAGAAAAGTCGTTCATAATCAGTCACATGATTGCTAGATCATGCTTAAAAATATGACTCAACTAAGACTAAAGTTAGGAATATTTTGTGTTTCATCATATAAATAAAAATAAACACGTATAAGAGCAACATGGCCTGTGTTCCGAATATTTGTGTGCCATTTATAAGTCTCACAGACAAAAAGTATTCACATGCCTACAATCATATGTTCACTCATGTTTAACTTTAAGCACAATGGGTAGATGCTTTCTTTGGCGTGGCTGCTTTATGAGGGAATTTTGAGTTTTAATGTCTAGATAAGCTTAAAAAACTACGAATTCGTTGCTAATATCGTGATACGTTGGGTAATATGTAATCGAAGAAATTCTGAAATAGTAGCAGTCTTCATAGTGAAAGCAAAATATATCGAAAAATTGTTTAATGTATGGCCCATTATAATTAAAGAAGCGAAGCTATCACTACATGAAAAAATCCACCAATGGCGCAAGAGTAAGTACCAGCTTATAAGAAATAAGGGTCAATAAAATGTTGAGAAAGACGATTCATTCGATGTTTCCGATCTCCAAGAGTATAACTTCCTTAGAACTACCATTTGATGTTAACAGCATTAAGAGAATCAGGGATTACGACTTGGATAATGCATTAGGCAAGATTAAGCAGAAACTGACCTTTGTGGGTAGGTTATAATATGTATGAAAAGGCTGAAGGGAAAGTTTATTAAGACATCCTGCTCATTGTGAAAGATGGAAGTAAATCAACTTAGCATTAACATGGGGATTATGTTTCTACTTGTATCGTGCAAATTGAAAACACAATCAATACTGGTGATAAGCATAAGCAAGATGGAAAACAGACATTCGATCGTGAAACTGGTTATAAATATGGAAATGAGGCTGAGGGATAAAAAATCGGTATAAAATAAAAAAGGTAACCTGTTCTAGTTTGAAGAGAAATAGTCATATTACAACCACCAGCATCGAGGATTCCACAAGCAATAATAGCACCAAATTTAGCCATAAGGTCCTCATGTCGATCACTGATGATCTTCATGCAGCGTCCACGAAACTCGACAGACTTGAACAAGAAATAGGGGAAAAACGAAGATAAGTTAATATAATAATAAGGATAAGTATGGAATCTTTGTGAGGAATCAATTGGAGTCAGTCCAGATTTTAAGTTATATCAACCCTAAGATTATAATAAGAGAATACATGAGAGGCAAGAAAGTAGTTTCAATTTTATATATACTTAGTCTCCGGAGAGTTTAATCTACTTAAATGAAAACAGGACTAAAACAATGGTGCGTAAAGTAACGAAGTAAACAAAAGTGATATAGGAAACGAAGATTAGTATTAATGAACAAATAATAAAAGAGTTGAACCAAGAGGAAATCGTACACCGGAAGGAAAGCATTGAGAGCT